AATAAAGAAATAAAAATAAATTCATTATGCGCTATAATGGTTGTTAATAAATAAATAAATAAAAAATAAATTCATTATGTGCTATAATGGTTGCATCAAGTTTTCCTTCTCTACCCAGAAATGGTATATATAGTTTATTGTTAATGTTACAATGCTAATCCTTTGCACATTTACATTAGTGTTTTGAGCACAACATGACATACTCCTGAGTAAACTAAGTTTATCAGAGGTTGTGTTTGTCCACATTCGTTTGTGTAACTCTTGGTCATTATGTATATAAAATATGATTCTTAAGAGCATGATATAAACTTGATCCCTAATTGTTTGATAGTGATGTTATCAGACAACATTTTACCAAAGAGAACACAAAACTCATTCATGACCTATGTTGTTTTAATAGAAACTTTAATATGACAAAAACACTGCAGCATGGCAGTAAGCCAGAAATACTATCAATAAATTTAGTGATGTTTTCCTCCTTTTAAAGTACTTTGCTACTGCTTTAACTTTCATTTCTGTTTATACCCACAATGGGAAGTGTAAGCCAAATCTTTAGTCCATTTTGCATAGAATAAAGACAAAATGAAAACACTGCAGAAAATATAACATAGATGTCTATTATTCTCCAGGCAGCAACGGGATCTCCATGCGGATGGGTGGACTGCTTTGTCTTTCCTGACCTCACACAGATTGTGCACACCATTTCTGACTCGGGATTACAAAAACATGTTAATGCATCTGAACATATAGGTACCAGCTGTTCTTAGAATAAAGTTGCTGGTTATATGTTCCAGAATAGTGAGGCTATAATACACAGACTTAATTTTTATATCTTTACCCACACATCCTAGGGGGGAAAAACACCTCAAGCCCTTGCCTAGGAGAGGAGAGCTTCACAGTGACTCCTATGTTGTAACACCATATGTACCACTCACAGCAAAGGGAATATTGCAGGAGCATTACGATGACTCTGTGAACATAATGCACCTCTCAAGGTGCTTTTCACCATCTGTTGTCTATAACATTGCAGTCCTTTTCTTCTAATGGACCACTTTAGTGTTATTTAAGGCTTATAATCAACTACACTGGAGCCTTTCCCTATAAATAAGAAAAAACATTATAAACATTTTCAAACGCAAGCTTTCAGCTGAGATTTATAGCGAAGGTCATGGCTGGCAAGTTTGTCTGATTCAGAGGGCATTCAAAGACCAGTAAGCAAAGATCGCTTTGGACTTTTTCTTCCATCCTGTTTTCAAAAGCATTCAGCGGGGAAAAGAACAGGTCAGTGAACTAGGTAGAAATGGTGAAAAAAAAAACACATAATGCAGAAGAATGCAGAAGGATGAATTGGAAACAAATTGTGATGAGAGTTACTGTCATGCCACTATCATCAAGTGCATGATTGAGGGATACAAGGCTTTCTATGAACTGTGTGAACACTGGGGACACATTTTGGGCCTTTGCTACTGCAGAAGAAATGGTGTCCCCCAAGAGCCTCCCTCTTAATAAAAGATTTTTCATTGTGCTTCTTTGTGTAGGGAGGGGTCTGGTCCTGAGGAGGCCTTCGGGTAATACTCCAAACATGCTTGGGGAGGGCAAATTATGAAACGTCTTCCTTTGGAGGTCAATCAATCTGCAAGCTGCTTACTGCTTTGTGAAAACATTCCTAATCAAACATTTGGAATTTCAGTTGCTGTTGTTATATACTTCCATCCCCATTAGGCACAGAGTTAGTAGGGATGCTTAAAATTGTATGGTGTGCGATAAAATTTATATGTGCATAATTGTGCAATGAACTGTAGCAGCTTGTGTTCCCTGTGTGGCTTTAGTTGGATTTATGACTGAGCTATGCTTGAACATTATTAATCTTGTTGCCAATTATATCTATGTTGGTTTTGTGTTTATCAAAGCGATTTCAGTATTGACTGTTTTACTGTTGTCCCATGCTTTGTGTAATTCTTATGGAAATGCATCATTATATTCTATAGAAACAAATGGAAATGATAGAATTTCAAAATATGAATTAATTATTACAGTGTAATTTGTATTCAGTAGCCAACCTTTCAGTATTGGCTATGGTGCTTTGTGCTCAGTGCTTTCCTGATTGTCTTTTTGAAAGAATACATCTTTCTTCTTTGTTAAAATGCACCAATATTGCTCTGTCTGTCAAAGCTATCCTCCTAATTTGATTAATGAATTAATACCCTTTTCTCTAGGGTTAAAAGAGCTTGTCATTCACAGATGTGATGTTTTCATCCACAGCCCTCCTGCAGAGGTACAGGGCGAGTGCTGTTCCTAGGTGATCATATTGCTGCCAGCTTCTCATTGTTATAGCACCTGAGGCCCGAACAGTACAGAGCGAGTCCAAGGCTTATGCTGGCTGTCTTACTAAATCATCTTATTCGGTTTCCTGTTCTCTTTCAGCTTGTTTCCCAGTTACTTTTCTGCCTGGGATTTCTGCTTCATGGTTTCTTTTTCTATGAACATGGAGCTTTTCTCTCCTCGTTCCTGCTTTTATCAGGGGAATTGCATTCTGCTGATTTCCTCCTACCATGCCAAAGCAGCTGATTATCACAAAGTACTAGTGAAGAACCATCATCCAGCTGTCCTTTCATAATGGATAGTAGGACACAGGAAACGTGTTGATTGGGTGCAAACTAGAAGCTGAAAGAAGTTATTCATCTTTATACCTGATCTTTGAGCTTGTCTTCATATCCCTATATTTCATGCTTGAAGTGCACTTATCAATGTCCTCTTCCCTTCCTGAAGATGCAAACATAGCAATTATCATTGAGATTAAGCACACAAAATCAGAACAGTCATAGAAATGAAGCCAACTCTTTTCCATTATGAAAAGAAGTCCAGTTTCCCCACAAACCTAATCCATCATTTTCCTTCTGGTTCACGTCCAGTTGACTGCTAATTTGGAATCAGTCTTTAATGTTGTTTAGTTTTAAAATACTGTATTTTCTGTGTATAAGATGCCCCATGTATAAGACACACACCCCACACTTTTCTAACCCAAAATTAAGAAATCTAAGTGAGGCTTAGGAAGTGTAGGGGGAAAGGGATCAAAGTCCTGCAGGATCAGGGCTAATAAATAAATAAAATAAATACTTCTGTGTATAAGATGACCCTCAATTTTTAGTCTAAAGATTTTAGACAAAAGTATAGTCTTATACATGGAAAAACACGGTACTAAAATTGGAGGTTTCTATAGAAGTCTATTATAAATGAAATGCCTTTGAAAAGAAGTGTTAGATATGTATAATGATGGTCCAAATCCTTCATACTCCCCGCCCCTTCTTCTGAAGTCATTTGAAAGATGTCACATTTGACCTGGTTTGGCCATATTTTCTGAATACACTTGTTAGTTTGGAGTTGAAAGAGGCAATCCAGTGAGATTGTATTATTTTTCCTCAGAAGGCACTGAGTGGGTGCAAATGGGTCCCCCACCACCGTTGCTACTGCTGTCTTTGGAGGAATCGGACTCCTGCTAACGTGACCGATTTTTTCTCCATAGTTGTGATAACTGTGTGAGTCTCTGGACTTAGAGCTCAGTTTTGTTTTTATTCATTGAACAGAGTTGAAAAAGTAGTGTGTAAGTACTAGGGAATTTAGTTTATTTTATTTTCTTGTGCATTTGCTATGTATTGTTCTTTTCTTTTGCCTTAGATTCTTATGGATTGTTTGCTCCAAAATGTTTCTGATACATTTTTGAAACTTTTCCTCTTTTTTGCCTTTTTCACTATCTTTAGCAAAATAGAAAAATATCTCTATTCCATTGTCTGCATTTTTAGCTAAAGAGGATCTGTGGTATTTAAAAGCAGACCTTGCCTTGACCATCTACCAAGAGCCTGTGTTTTCCAGATAGTATTACTATGCAGGGTTGGCATGAGGGATAAAGTACTTCACCTTGTGTATCTTTTGGAAGTTCCTGGAAGCACTGCTTAGCTGGGCCAGACTAGAGTGTTGAAAGGTTACCATGATCGGTAGATGTGGTTGCAAAAAAATCCCAATAATTTAAGTTCTACCTACAATTTAAATTTTGTTTTTAATCTAATTTAGTTTGCAGCTTCTCATAGAATTTTGGATGGCAGTCACACCTGTAGCTTTTCATAAGTTGCAAGGACAGATTTCTGTGTTGAGTATCTGTGCTTACAATTTTTTCATAGCTGTAAGACTTGAATGTTCTCAACAATATTGATGTATTTTTTGTGCACATGTGTTAAATTATTTACATGTACATAATTTAAAAAACAAAAAAGTTAAAGAAAATATTTTGTTCTTTGTTAAAAAGAAAGCCATTAAAAACATTTTGGGAATAAAGTCACACTCTCCATGCTAGCCACTAAATCTAATCCAAAATGTTGCCAGAGACAATTCTAACTGATTTTCCCTCCCTCAAACAACCCTTCAATGATAAATACAGAAAATCTGTTAATAACCTCTAAAAAGTAAATGTTCTTATTCATATCCCTTTATCTTTTCTTTTACCTTATACTAGTCATGTAATAAGAAATAAAAAGTACAGATTGTTACAGTTGATCATTAACAGTAAAATAAATGAGGAAAAAGGTATGAATAGGAAGGAATCTATCTTTTTTGCTGAAGAACATGAGAGACTGGTTTGGATGCAGTATAGCACCATAATTTACAGATGCCACATCCAAAGTCAATATGGTCATGATGATGTAGAACTTCTGGTAGGAGACAAGCAACACGAGGAATGTTAGAGCAGTTCTACCATGTTAATCCATAGAATATTATCTGAACAATATGCTCAGCAGCATGGCAAATGATGATGAGAAATGATGGGAGCTACAGTCTAGTAACTTCTTGAGGGCCAAAATAATTAACTTGTGGTTAAAAGTACAGCAAGTACATATGAAGCAGGTAAATGGGTCTGTTTGAACTGTTTCATAAACTCAGTATAAGAATGCAGTCTGCAATTCAAGCAGAATGTGCAGAATTATACGAAAGAAAGGTAACACACCTGACACTTTTTGAAACACTACTTTAATTACTTGGCGGTTTCATTTATGCTTACATTAAACATTGGAGATAATGGGCACAATCCTCCAAACACAGTTGATGCACATCTTCCATCTAGTTCAGTGAGCCCTGCAAGGATGACATACTCCTTGGAATAGGGCATGGTGGGTAGACAACAGAAGCACCGTTGAAACTAATGGAGTGTATGCTGCAGCTGTGCTCAATGAAGGGTGACCAAGAATTACAATATATGGTTTCATTCACAAGATGCTGCAATCTTTCTTTTCTAGCCAAATCATATGTAGATATAGATATACAGTATATTCATCTTAACTGACTGGAAATGTATGGATACACACTTTGGAATGAAATCCACAACGAGTGCCTGAAGCCTGAAAACAAATAATTAGTTGTTAGCATACTACAGAGTGATTCAAGTAGTTAAAAAAATTAATCCAAAGCTCAAGCAAATGAAGATGTATCCAACAATATGTGGCAATCACTTTGAATCAACAAATGCTGCAAGAAATCCCCTTGCATCGTGCCTGCATATGCAAGGGGTGGATTTGGAAAGGGGGCTGTGTCACCGCTTTTGTGTGTGAGTGTTTCAAATGGAATTTATTGGACCATTTTGTATTAAAGGCAGCAGTCCTGGAACTACCTGTATGCAAGTAATAGAATTCAAAATACATTCAGAACTGGAAGCAAGTCATAATAGCTGTAACTTGTTCTGCAAATTTAGGAGCAGAACAAAAAAATCTGCAATAATTTTGAATAACTATGGTAACGAGTCTACTAGATACGAGCAGCTATTAGAATAATCTCTTTTCTGATCTTTAAAAATAGTGGTACACATTTGGACATGAAACAAGGGAAACTCATCTCAAGGATAGATGAGCTGTCTCTTCTAAGTTAAAAAAAAAAATCAAAAGAAAATCAACAAGCTTCCAACCCAGGGGTTTTCAAAACATATGGAAGTCCAGTTATTATGCTTTCTTCCCCTTTAGGGCTGGGAAACACAATACACGTTTGGTGTGCAACCCGGACTCCTGCTAACGTGACCGACTTTTCCTCCATAGTTGTGATAACTGTGTGGGTCTCTGGACTTAGAGCTCAGTTTTGCTTTTATTCATTGCACAGAGTTGAAAAGTAAACAACAGTTAAGAAAAGCATCAGCTCGCCAAGGCGCAGCATGAAGTGCCATAGCCTCTTTATGCAGGAAGTTGGACCTGTGTTTACTAACACACGCAATATTGTTCTGTGAGCTTGCTTGGCCTTTTTCGGAACAATCCCAGTGCCTTTTGAAAAATAATTAGGCCCCCCGCTTCTTTTATTCAGTTCTGGAAAAGTTACAAAAACATAAGAGAACACTATGGTGCCAAAGATACATTGAATGCACAGCTTATCCACAACACTGTATATTTCTATTAACAAGGTGTATGTGTGCTTTCAACGTGTAAAATTCAGGGCTTCATGGTTGTAAAAGAACTAGAGGGATTGTTCTTGTCCCTTATTCCAAGGCCTCCGTGTATTATTATTATTATTATTTTTGAATCATCATAGCAAGAACAGAATACACATTAACTGTTGAACTTCAACTGGCAATAGCAGTTTGTTAAAGACCCCATCGATATGTGGTTACAATAGCAGACACACAGTTAAGGTCAGGTCACGGTTTCCAACAACACTCACAGGAACCAAGGATAATGAAACAGAGAGAGACCCCTTCGGGACCCTCTAAGGGACAACAGGCGGCTGCGCTCACTGCGGAAGTGCCTTGAGTATTGCATTCACTTCTTCAGCAACGGCTGTCAATGCAAACTCAAATTGTTCCTGTGGGGAGAACAGTCAGAATTAAAAACGCTGGCATGCTTCCAGAGATTCTGGTGAAATATTAAGCAAATGGTATGTAACAAAAAGGCTATGAAGAAAGTGTCCTGAGATGTTGCATTGTACTGTATTGGCTGGCCGCTGCTGCTCAGAGCAACATGAATGCGTAATAACCAGAAGCACCATTAGTCATGTTACTTATTAGTCTAACTGAAAGGCCTGTGAACGGCAATCACCATGAATACCCTGTCAATAAGGACAGAGGAAGTGGGCAGTTGCTTAACAAAGCCTGAGAAACAGGTGTGCGACTTCTTTTCCATGCTTCTTTGACAAATGCTGAAAGACACTTTATACTATTTTTTTCCACACAGACATATATGACGCAGATTATAGAGGATGCAGAATTATTTTCTATTCAAGCACCAATCATTTCTGGTGGCTTACAGCATTCTAGGGTAACTTGCAAAATATGAAATAATATTTTGATTTTGTTGTGTCTTATCATTGCGTCTCTGAATTTACTGTTCAGGTATACAAAAAGCACAAGAGTTCCACAGTCAAGCCTGTGAGGTTTTTTTAAAAGGGGGGCAATTTGGGGAAATGGTCATATGCAGCTTGACAGCACATCACACACACAACACACACAGTTACAACCTTAATCTGGTTTTACTGACAGTACCTTTGTTTCAACCATGCCAGGTCTCTGATCCCTCAAGTGTTCCAGAGTAGCAGCAATATCAATCTCTTTAGCACCTGCAATATAGAGAGATATAAAAATGTGTATACAAAAAAGGTCACCAGTTGAGCTGAGTTCAAAGTAATGATAATGTGCGCTGCATCTGTCAGTCTGTAAGTACCGAATTTCCTTTGGGCTAAGAGACCAGTTGAAAATTATACAGTCATCTCATGGTGGTCTTGGCAGGCTGGTCCAAAATTGGCATTCAGAAAGGGAGTGGAGAGCAGAGAAACGTCAAAGGTAGTTTGACTGGCACCGAATAGTTAAAACAAAATGTGAGAAAGCATCCTTAAAAGATATTTCCACCAATACTTGACAAGCAGCAAAATGTGTCAAGTAAGAATTCCGGTTTGAAATTCATTTGCAAAGATGTTGTTTTCCTTACCCTTGTTCTAAGGCACATGTAACAACTCCATTCTAGTGTTTAATTATCAGGGTGTTTTTTTTTTTTGAAATACATATGAATTGTTGTCGTTTTTGCAATCGTGAACTTGAGTTTGCTATGCCTACCGGTTTGATTATTATCCAGATAATCCTGTATTGGAAACCTTCCTGCTACTCACACTGTGAGGTTAATAAAACACCACACTGAAGGAGAAGGATGCTTGTGGTGGGCTGTGAAGTCGTACTCATAGGACCACATGCTGCTGCCATGCATTTCCCCCACCTGAGCATCCACTATCTTGTGGCTGCTGCTACAGCAGCAAAAAAGCGCAACATTTTGTCTTTCAGAATGCCATTTTCCCCCCTTCACACAAGTTGTTTGGTCCATGCTTTGTTTACAAGCAGCCTCACGCTTCTGGCAGATTCCCAAAAGGAACTTGGCAAGGTTTGGATTCTTCTACATGACATTGAGCTTTTCAACACTGCAGCAGGATGGAACCTATGAGTGGCTTACTTCTGTAACCAATGAAGGCCACCAGTGTCATTTTTAATGCTATTTTGCTGAAAGAGTCTGATCATGTTGGAATGAATGGCAGTATAAAAGACCCGGTGAGCTATCAACAATTCAAGTTCTATTAAGATTACCTGTTTCCCTTACAAAGTGTAGCTGCAGAGAATAGACCTAGCAGATGTGGTGCAAAACCTGGATTTCAATTAATTCCCAGCTCAGAGACAGACCCTTCCATGTCATCCATCTCAGATGGGACTAACCAACCAAGCCCTCTTCTCAAAACCCCAAGTTTCAGCTAAAGTGTTTTTAGTTTTTAGTTTTAGTTTTTAGTTTTAGTTTTCA